TCAAATTTACGGCGCTTAATTTTAGTACAACCTTCGTGGAGGACGGTTGGAACAAAAGATGAATACAAACGGTATTCAAGTGTCTTTATTGGCAACATCGTCGATCCTGATTGCACGAAAATTCGCGCCCTGTCACTTAAGCTCCTGGTGACTGACTATACGTAATCTTTGGATCTGCTGCGGCTTTTCACTCAGTCACGTAATTTATGTTGCTGTAAATTTCCTCTCCGAGAACACACGGAAAAGGAACATGGTCTGAATTAAATCGATAGTACGAAGACAATGGACAATGAAGAAAAAAAAAAAAGAAAAGAAGAAGGAGAAAGAAACATAGTGTTACATTTCTCAGGAAAGATAGAAACCCGCACAAATGACAGTCCTGTCAATGGAGTGATGCATCGTTAGCGGTTTAGGTCATTTCATTAATTTAGCTAAAACACCTTTCAATTTACACATGTATACAAATGCAGTTGCGTGAATTTCGCACGATATATCTGAAATGAGACCTTAGACTGCAGCTGAAGTATATACCTGCTACATGTACAACTAGCGGCTCAGATAACTTATTCACGCGATGAAGATTTTCTTGCTTCGATATATATATATTTTTTTTACAAAAGAGAGTGGGTGTTTTATTCTATAAACGTATAAGTATGCACATGTGAGTGCATAATTACCTCCGCTGTGTATACATTTACTCTGTAAGTAAATGTTAAAAATACCTATAGTTTCAGCCTAAACGTGGTGTAAAAATACTCAAAATAACGAGTATCACTACACCATAATTTCTGTGTAGTGTTTTACACCATAAAAAGTGTAACTTTATAATTTTTCTTTTCTAACAATACACTTCAATTTTAACACTTTTAGTTGGTGTTAAAGTACCCGAAAAAACGAGTAACACAACACTACAAATTGTGTAATATTACTCTGTGTTGTTAGCATACTCTAACACCGATAGGTGTGTTTAATACTATAAGTTTGTTAGTGTAAAATTACCTTTACTATGGTATGCATTTACGCTGTAAAAACGGGTAAAATGTACACCGTACCCTGCGTGTAATGTTACAATAGAAAAAATTGTAAAAGTATACCTTTAACTGTGTAATATTATCATGTTAAGAGTACCAGCTCTTTTACACTAAAGTTTGCGTAAAATTACCCAACATAAAGCGTAACACAACACTGAAAATTCTGTGTAACGCTTTACTCGTTAAAAAGTGTAATATTACAAATTTTCCTTTGTAACATTACACTTTAATTTTAAGTGTGAAGGTTCTGCATTTTACTGAGCAAATGTGCTTTTAGCCGCATGTTTCACACTGAGAGGTCATGACATTTATATCGATTGACTGTAGTTATTGTTTTCTGGTCGGCAGGATTTGCCCTCTGGTGCAAGCGCATTTTCTTTGACCTCTTTTGAAGCGTAAAGCTTTTTTATTACGGCTGAATAAGGGTTCCAATTTTCTCCAAAGTGCCTTCTGGATCTGATCTAAGCGATTTTCTTGAGTCCGTGAGTGTAATGTTTTTCTGCAATGCTATATCACGCTGGGCCCAGCTCGTCAGTTTTCTTTGCAGAATGTTAAATTATCACGGATAGTGACTTACAGATCCAAAATTATAAGAGTGAACTGCAGCTTAAACTGAAGCTACATAAACTTACTATGGAGAATTGAATTGTGACTCAGTAAACTCCAGCTTAGTGTTTTACTAAAGATAGTGTGAGTCTTTTGACTGGAGCGCGTAGTTCCTCCCTTGGTAAGAGCTTTGAATAAGCTTAACAGTCTTTAAACTGTGTTGTTATTGCCACAGTCTGTGATCAGACAAGACCATGGTTTCGGTTCTCCTCACGAACCTCATCAGTTGCCGGGTTGGCTTTGTGCTTAGTCGCTTTTACAAGAGCAACTTTAGTTGTATTTTGTCGTGGCGAGAACGGTACAGCCGTTCTGTCTGTTGAGCTTTGAACTGAACATAAATACCCACGTGGCGGATCGAAATTCTTGTTTTCTTATTGGCTACTGAACGCAACCAATTCCTCAATGTGTATTTCGATCCTCTTCTGCTTCAAGCTAGAGGTGTGTTTTTTTGGAAAGCATTTCGTGAAAATTTAGGCACTTTCTTTCATGGAGGAGTTTGAAGACTCTTGTAAATAAATGCGCACAGAGTTTCCGTACACTCCGTCTAAAAACTCGAGTGGATACGTTCCTTGTTGGTTGTGCAATGTTGAATTTTCTACTCTGTGCTTGGTTCTTTTTAGTGGCAGTGTTGATTTTCATAAGTTAAAACGGGGCCTACCCGTAAACAAATCATAGCAATAAAAGGGGGTGGTAGGCCTACACGACTTTTACCTCATGCCAAAATGCTGCTTATTCCAATAAAGTTGTTTTTATCTGCTGGGTAGATTATGCTCTGGAAGGTTCTGCATTTTACTGAGCAAATGTGCTTTTAGCAGCATGTTTCACACTGAGAGGTCATGACATTTATATCGATTGACTGTAGTTATTGTTTTCTGGTCTGCAGGATTTGCCCTCTGGTGAAAGCGCATTTTCTTTGACCTCTTTTGAAGCGTAAAGCTTTTTTATTACGGCTGAATAAGGGTTCCAATTTTCTCCAAAGTGCCTTCTGGATCTGATCTAAGCGATTTTCTTTAGTCCGTGAGTGTAATGTTTTTCTGCAATGCTATATCACGCTGGGCCCAGCTCGTCCGTTTTCTTTGCAGAATGTTAAATTATCACGGATAGTGACTTACAGATCCAAAATTATAAGAGTGAACTGCAGCTTAAACTGAAGCTACATAAACTTACTATGGAGTATTGAATTGTGAGTCAGTGTAAACTCCAGCTTAGTGTTTTACTAAAGATAGTGTGAGTCTTTTGACTGGAGCGCGTAGTTCCTCCCTTGGTAATAGCTTTGAATAAGCTTAACAGTCTTTAAACCGTTTTGTTATTGCCACAGTTTGTGATGAGACAAGACCATGTTTTCGGTTCTCCTCACGAACCTCATCAGTTGCCGGGTTGGCTTTGTGCTTAGTCGCTTTTACAAGAGCAACTTTAGTTGTACTTTATCGTGGCGAGAACGGTACAGCCGTTCTGTCTGTTTAGCTTTGAACTGAACATAAATACCCACGTGGCGGATGGAAATTCTTGTTTTCTTATTGGCTACTGCACGTAACCAATTGCGCACTGTGTATTTCGATCCTCTTCTGCTTCAAGCTAGAGGTGTGTTTTTTTGGAAAGCATTCCGTGAAAATTTAGGCACTTTCTTTCTTGGAGGAGTTCGAGGACTCTTGTAAATAAATGCGTACAGAGTTTCCGTACACTCCCTCTAAAAACTGGAGTGGATACGTTCCTTGTTAGTTGTGCAATGTTGAACTTTCTACTCTGTGCTTGGTTCTTGTTAGTGTCAGTGTTGATTTTAATAAGGTGAAACGGGGCCTACCCGTAAACAAATCATAGCAATAAAAGGGGGTGGTAGGCCTACACAACTTTTACCTCATGCCAAAATGCTGCTTATTCTAATAAAGTTGTTTTTATCTGCTGGGTAGATTATGCTCTGGAAGGCTCTGCATTTTACTAAGCAAATGTGGTTTTAGCCGCATGTTTCACACTGAGAGGTCGTGACATTTATATCGATTGCCTGTAGTTATTGTTTCCTGTTCGGTAGGATTTGCCCTCTGGTGCAAGCGCATTTTCTTTGACCTCTTTTGAAGCGTAAAGCTTTTTTATTACGGCTGAATAAGGGTTCCAATTTTCTCCAAAGTGCCTTCTGGATCTGTTCTAAGCGATTTTCTTTAGTCCATGAGTGTAATGTTTTTCTGCAATGCTATATCACGCTGGGCCCAGCTCGTCAGTTTTCTTTGCAGAATGTTAAATTATCACGGATAGTGACTTACAGATCCAAAATTATAAGAGTGAACTGCAGCTTAAACTGTGAACCACTGTCCACATTTGGCGACAGTGATGGTACCAATATTCCTCTGTAGTGCTTGAAGTAACAACTGCGTGCGGTAATTTCCCAAGGCAAGTCCTTGTTGTCTGACGTCAGCGCGGTCGTTCATCTGTACTTGAATTTCAGGACGACCAATATCTGCCTTTATTGCAGCTTTCAAGGCACTAACAGCTTGTGCAATAATATTGAAAAAGGGACTGTAAGGTGGCAATTTTCTTAATTCTGAATTAGGTCCTGGAATGGCAGGATTCCTGTGGGGTGGCGCACCATCATAAATAAAAATCACGTGTTTATCGGGGTCGAGATTTAGCCTTGTGTGCGCGAGAAATACATCAAATCTTCGTCCATTCATGTCTCCGAGTATTGCTGACTGAAACTCTAGACCACTAGTGGGTGAAATTGCCAATGCCACAGTCACATTTCTTCCTCGGTGACCACATACTTGACGATAGGCCCTCTCTCCTCTTAAAGCAAATGTGGACAGTGGTTAAGGTTTATGCAGACGTACTTACCACGATGCATCAATAACGAAGCAATCGAAGGATAATAGCCTTAAACTAAGAAACAATTTTGAATTTTTTTTCCCTTTATTGTTTGTCATTATTACACAAATGTTTAACGATTCAAAGGATTGAATGTAACTTTTCAATAAATGATTGTCTCTTGACGCCATTGATTGTGCCTCTCTATGCTAATTGTCTTATTGAATGTCTCTTTTTCACTTACGATTGTCAGAAGGTGTTAATGATTTTCTTTTGTTGTTACTGATTGTCAATTGCGCGTGTTTAAATGTCCGCTTGGCGTCCTTGATTGTCGATAGATACTCTTGTTTGTTCGTTGACACTATTGAACGTTATAAACATGCAAATTGCGCTCTTGAATGTTCCGTGGCGTTAATGAAGTGCTTCTTGGAGGTATAGAATGTATATTCGCCTTACTGATTCTACACTTCGCGAAAATAAATATCTTTTTCGCCTAAATGATCAGCAAAAGGTGTAATGTAAAGGTTTACATATGGTAAGAAGTATTTTTGATACAAATGGCATTCCATATTAGTTAGTGAACCTTGCATGAAGTTTGAACATTCGTTCAATAGACAAGGCATGTCCCAATGCGAAGAAATCGTTAAGTTTTTTACCTTCCCAATTAATTCTCTTCCATGGCCCGACAATGAGGACATGTTTTCCGTTAAGCTGTAAAGGCGCGATTCCAACTCTTTTTGCCAATATTCCTATATAGGCGTCTTCTAAAGGAAAAGGTGTCAGGCCTTCATTTGAGGACACCTTAAGTAATTCGAGAAGAGTGCTTTTAGCTACAATATAAAAGGGCCCGTTATAGTATGGAGGGAACAAAGTGTCGTTCAGAAATTGTTCACTAACGAACCATTTATGCTTTGGATTTCTAATAACTATTCCCCCGTTTATTACAGCGCCAGCATATAGCTTTTCGGGTATAGAAGACGTTTTCAGCCACCAAATCATCTTAGGAACGTGAAAATATACGTCATCGTCCACTTTGACGATAAACTGAACGTCCATGACAGAAGCAAGCCACAAAGAGCTCATAGTCTTGAAGGCAAGTAGTGGATAGGATTTAGTGGATAGGATTCAGCCTTAAGATGTCCCCGTAAACGGCGCTTTCATTCCGCACGGCGGATTCTACCTCCACTTTTGTGTCATGTCCGCAAACAAACCAGTAGTGGATAACCAAGTTACTAGATGAATTTGAAGAGTTTTTCATCAGTGTTCGTATGTTAGATCTTCCTCGTGCAACAGAGTTGTTTACCAAGAGAGACAACCATGTTTGACGTATAGATAGTCTTCTGCTTGTGTAAAACGGCGCGCTTGTTATGAAAATAATTGTCTGCTCATTCGCTTGGATGAGTTGGGTTTGATTTCTTGTTGACAGATGGTTTTCTTTCGTGGAACGTTCCTGAAACGGCTTTGTAAAATATGAGGATGTGCTGGGAACGAATTTGTTAAACGTATAGAGGAAGACTGCGGTAACAAACAAAGAAAATATCCCGACAAGTTTGATTACCCTGAAGCGCATCATGATGTTTACGTTAGCTCGACTTGATGTTTCTGCATATGTTTTTTTAGGACCCTCGGGCAAACTCACTATGTGTTCACGTGTTTACAACAATGGTTGAATTACAGGTGAATTTTAGCAGAACAAACAGGAGCACCCAACGAGAATCTAATTCAAAGCACTTAAACATAGCATTATTTAAACGTATTTTAGTATTAAAACGGTACATGTAGGTATATTTTTGTCCCCTAAAAATTTTTCATCTGTTTGGATTTCCTAGATGAAAGTCTACTGATCCGAAAATTATTGGGATCAAAACTTACTGTTCTCAATCGGCAGAACGGTCAATATCCACATTATTTCACGTTAGAATGAACAGCAAAGTGTATTCCTTCGTCTCACACGTGTCAAAATGCGCCCGCGATACAACTAAGCGGTAAATTCGCGAAAATCACCTAGACAAATAGTTAATCATTGAACGGCTAAATAATTACAATTTTTTTATTCTTAACATCGCCCTCCCCAATGCAATTGATGCATTCGCTGACTAATAACATGCATAAAACTCTTAAGTCCACGGGGGGGCATGACCACTGTCATAGACTGTTTCTCAATAACGATCAAAGTTCAAATCATCTTTTCCAGTCAATGTTTCAATCAAAAATTCTAGGTAACAAAACATAACGACTGTCACTTTCACGATCGGCCGCAGTTCCGGTATCACAGTCGAACGTTTAATGACTCTCACTCCTCAGCACTGTCTTCTACATACTCCAGTGGACACAGGCGATGGACAGGACGCAAGTACTCCTTGTTCTTTGCCTTGACTTTTACAACTCTCACTAGACCATCATCAACAGGGTATGCTTCAATCACACGGCCGAGAGGCCACTCTCCTCTGCTGGCATTTGGCTCTACAATCAGCACAACATCACCTTCCTTCAAGTTGTGTCTTGGATGAAACCATTTCTTTCTGAGATTAAGGAACAGGGCAGGAACTCTTTTCTCCGTCGTTTCCAGAACTGTCCTAGAAGCTGCTGCACACGATGCCACCGTTTCTTGGGGTTGTAGGTTTGCTCCTGGTCAAGTGCCTCAGGAGCAAATGGTCCTCCAATCTCTCCAACAAGGAAGTGGCTTGGAGTGAGTGGCGAAAGGTCATTGGGATCCGGGCTGACATAAGTTATTGGTCGGGAATTCAACAATCGTTCCGCGCCACAGATTGCTGTGTGAAGCTCTTCGTCGGTACCATCTGCGTCTACAAGGATAGCTTTGATTGCTTTCTTCGCACTCTTGATCAGTGCCTCAAATACACCACCAAAATGGAGGGCACACGGAGGGTTAAACTTCCAGTCAATTGGGTGATATTTGCTGGTTTCTTGCGTGATTCTGTCGGTGTCAAGGGCCTCCACCAACTCTCGAAGTTCGCGCTCTGCTCCAACGGGGTTGGTTCCGTTGTCAGAGATAACATAGGTCGGTGTCCCCCTCCTTGACGTCATCCGGGTAAATAAGTTAATAAACGAGTCAGTGTCTAATGAGTACGCCATTTCCAAATGCACAGCTCGGGTAGTAAGGGAAGTGAAAAGACACAGGTAACGTTTGGCTCTTGTCCTACCACGTCCTTGCTTCGTCAAGAATGGACCTCCATAATCGACACCAACTTTTTCAAAAGCCCCTAGTGACGACTGCAATCTCGTTTTGGGTAACGAGGCCATCATCTGATGGCCTATCTTCATGGTGAAACGACGTCGACATTCAGCACAAGCCTCGGTTACGTTTCGTACCATGCGCCTTCCTTTTACAATCCAGAAGCGGCTTCTTAACTCAGTTAGAACTTGCTCTACTCCAGCCCCATGGGCGAGTCTTTCATGGGCGTCAGCGCTAACAAGTCTTGTTACAGGGTGGTCTTTTGGTAGTAGGATAGGGTGTCTTGTGTCATATGGAAGCTCATCTGCAAAACGCAAGCGTCCATCCATTCGAAGTAACCCATCACCATCAGTCTTAGGGTTCAATTGAGTCAGCGACCCTTCGTTTTCTCCACCAGGGAAGGCTTGGGCTTGGGCTTGCTTAATCCAGAACGTCTCTGCTTCACATATCTCGGTTGGCAGGAGGATTCGATCCTTTCTTCGTAAATTCATTGGAAGTCTGCAGTTGGTCGGGATCGCTGAACCCATCCTGTCACATGAACCATACGCTTGAGGCTTGAGAATCTGTTTGGGTCAATGATCACACTGGTATGGCTCTTGGTCACGTGTGTTCTGGATGTCGTTCGTCTTTCACAGTCTTCATTCTTCTTAGTGTTGTCTCTGGGGGGTTGTGCTGCCGGCCAGGTTGACTCATCGTCTTTAAGGAAGGCTGGTCCTTCCATCCAAACTTCACTCTCGGCAAAGGCCATGGCAGAGAGCCCCCTTGTTGGCCGGTCTGCTGGGTTAAGTGTTCCTGGTACGTGTCGCCACTGCTCAGGACTTGACGTTCGCTGTATTTCACCAATTCGGTTGGCAACAAATGGTTTGAACTCACGGCTTTGATTGCGGACCCAGTACCACACATTCTCTGAGTCAGTCCAGAAGATGGTTCTGTCCACCTAGATCACTTTCAGGATATTCTGGGCTAATCGACTTGAAAGGACGGCACCCATAAGCTCTAGCCGGGGAATTGTCATTGCCTTCACTGGGGACACACGACACTTTGATGCGATAAGGCGCGACGATGGACTGCTATCCTGGTATCGACAGACTAAATAGCCGACCTATGCGAAGGCTTCATTAGAAGCATCTGAAAATAGCTGTAGTTCAATGTTCTCTGGGTACGCTCGACTCAGACAACGAGGGATAGCAACATTTAACAGCTGTGGGAGTTCCGATACCCACTTCTCCCACTTGACTTTTAAGGTCTCGGGTCCTCATCCCAATCAACACCAGCCATCCATATCTCCTGCATAAGGACCTTTGCTCTCACTGTGAATGGTGCCAAGAACTGAAGCGGGTCAAACAGGCTGGCTATAGCGCTCAGTACATTTCGCTTGGTGGGTGCTTTGTTATTGATGAGTGGCTGTTGCACTTGGAAGGTAAAGACATCTCTTTCAGCTTCCCATATGACTCCAAGAGTCTTGGACTTTGGCAAGATATCTTTGTCTAACTCCAAGGTAGGTAGCCGGTCTTCCTTCGGGACGTCTTCAATTACAACTGGTTCATTGGAGGACCACTTCCTTAACTTGAAGCCTGCCATGGCTAAAAGGGTAGACAACTGGCGTCGCAGGTGTTGAGCACTTTCAACTGTCTCACAGGAGTCTAGTACATCGTCCACATACATTGAGTCTTCAACGGTGCTTGCTGCTTGAGGAAAGTCCAAAGCGTGTGTCTTGGCATGGGTCTGAAGAACATACTGGGAACAAAATGGCGAAGCAGTGTTTCCAAACAATAGTCGCTGAAACTCATACACATCAGGCGCTCTTGAAGTGTCGAAGTCACGCCACAGGAACCGGTGATATAGACAGTACTTTCTCTTGCAATTCAACTTCCAAAAACATCTCAGAAATGTCAGCTGACAGGGCTACAGGTGCCCGACGAAAACGTGTCAACACATCAACCAAGTCTCTTTGAAGCTTTGGTCCTGGCCATATGGCGTCATTCAAGCTCTTTCCATCACGCTTCGCCGCAGCATCGAAGACAACGCGCACTTTTGTCGTAACTGGAAAGTGGGGCAGAAACCATTGTTTTTCAACTTCAGATTGGAGTACTTGACGAATGTAGTCCTTTTTCTCGTAGCCTTGAAAGATCTTGTTGTAGGCTTCCATGACCTCTGGACCTTTTCGCTTAAGGGACTTCTCCTGGCTTTTGAGCTGCACGAGAGCTACGTCGTAATTGTTAGTGAACCTTGGTTCGCCTTCTTTCCAGGGGATTCCAATTTTGTATCGCCCATTCCTGACCTCCAGTGTCTCAGATACTTGAGCAACTGCCGCTCTCTCTTCTGCTGTCATCCGTTGTTCAGGCTTGTCCATGACCCCCATGGATTGGAGCGCCCAAAATGCTCGCAGAATGTCATCAGGTGGCGGTGGCTTGTTGACGCGACTACTGCGGTACGTGCGTGTGAAGTGGGAATGAGTGTTGCGCCGAAACTCTTCCACCAATGTAGCACCAAAGCACACCCAGCCCAAATTTGTCAAACGCGCAATGGGGCCATTTGGTTGGTCACCGCAAGCTTCCTTCAGCACATGATGAAAGACTGGATGATCACTGCCAATCATGATGTCAATCTGACGTCGTCTTGATACACTCTCGAATGGCACTTGGCGAAGGTGGGGCCACTTGTCCTTCAGTTCTGACCAGCGAATAGCTGGAGTGTCGCCGGCAATGTTTTCAAGGACATGGGCTTGCAACAGACTTGAGAATGTACCATCCAGGTTTGTCACTGTCAGTTCAACCCTGCGTGAACGTGTCTTAACTTCTACTCCTCCTGTTCCTGCAATAGTCAGATTTAACTCCTGTCCATATAACTCAGCTCTTCGGTAGCCTCCTCAGAAATGGAGGAACTTGTG